ATACTCAGGCCCTATCTCAAGGAATTTACACTGTACAAGGGCTAACACTGTGTCCTACTACTTCCAACAACTTCCACATCAGCAAAATGAAGGTGGTCTTGTCTCTCCATAGAGATAGCCTCATTTTCCTACAGAAATTTACTCAAAACAAGTAAGAAATGCCATTTATAAGGCAGTGCAGAGCCTTCAGGCAGCTTCCACACTTTGCCTAGTGCACCAAGGCTTCCTCTCATTAAATTTAAATACCGGTTTGTTTGCAGGCCACATGTCACAATGGCTGACTATAGCTGACAACTTAGTAATTTGCAGCTCAAAACAAATAACACATTTATAAATAATAGTCTTTCTTGAAAAACCGATTATTGTCTTGAGCCTTACAACAAAATTAAACTGCAAACTATGGACTATTAAATTTACTGAAGAAATCTTAAGTCATTCAAATATATTAAGCAACTACTGCTCACTTCAGCAAGCATGGTAGCAAACTGTGTTGAAGACAAGAAATATTTCTTGGGGAATTTTTGGAAGACATAGTTTAGTTTAAATTAGCACTTCCTAGAGTGCTTTTAAAAAGAAAAAAAAAAAAACCCTTCTTTTAACAACCCTTCTATACTCAAAAACCATAATCACTCAACAATTCAAAGTAACCACCTGGTACCCAGATTCTGAGCCTGCTAGAAAAGAATGGTTTCCTGCAATGTATGACCATGGCAGTTGTGAAGCTATCAGAGCTGATTTTGTTTCCTTTGCTCTCATAAATAATTCGTATACAAATTGTTCAAAATGCAACAGCTCTATTCTCTCATTATTTTTAAACCAAATGGAAAACTGATTGTCTCTGACCACTGGTAGATTTGGGTCCTTTTTTGAAAGCCCAATAATAAACTGGAAATAAGAAAGTAATTCAACACTCTTTAATTAATTTAACAAACTCTCTATTAACTGACCTAACCAACAATCGTTTAACATCTAGCACATACAAAGAATACAGAAACAATAATAAGCAATTAGGACTCTTGAGGAGTTTACACATTAGCAGTAGGTTGAACAAAATAACTTACTTTGACTTTGAAATAAAGACAATATAGTTCCTCAGATCGTAATCACGTGCCACATACAAAGTAGGTATAGAGAGCCAAAAGTTAACTCACATCAATGACCACACTTAGCAGGCACTCCCCCTTCTGCCTTACTTTTATCATCCTCACCAGCCAAGATTTTTCCCCCCAATGAGAAAATACAGGTGCTCAACATCTGACCCTAGACCTAAGTCACAGATTGGAGACTATCAGATTTTAACATAAAGTCACTTTGTGTGGTGGTAAATCTTTAAGTTTAACCATATAGACTTATTATATCTCTAGGTAACATTCAATCCAAGCATAGAAATGGAAAAAAAAAAAATGCTACTGAGAGTTCCTAAAACCACTCCTGCTGTCTGAGACCTGCCTACCTTAGCCCCCTACTCCTTGAAGAGGCAATGAATCCACTCTGCTTTTTTCCCCTATTTGAACGTAGTATTTTTAAAAGCACCAGCCCATTTGGCCATGATCTATGGCCCACCATAAATACCAACTGGTGTGGTCAAAGGGTGTAATTGTAAGCAAAGTATGAAGTGACTAAGAGAATAAGCCTGCAAAATAACACTCTTAGGGAGTGGGACCTACTAGGGAGCCAAGGAATCACAGACAAGATCTCCCTTGGACTCGACTGGCTTTTAAAATCATCACTGGGCAAAGAGGTTCTATGTCCTTGAACTCCACCCAAGAACCCCCAAGCATGCCCACATATCAGGCAGAAAGAGTTAAGGATGCAGGCTCTCGAGCTGGACTGACTGGCTTCAGATCCTGGCTCCATACTTAACAGCATCAGCACCTTCTCTCTGACTCCACTTCTTCCTCTGTAACTAGAAGATAAGAACAGCATCTACCTTATAAGACTAAAGAATAAAATGAGATCACAGTTAAAGAGCTTAGCACAGTAGCTCACTCACAAGAAACACTAAGTAAATATGCACAGCTGTATCTACTATTTTCAAGGGCTACCTGAACTACCAGTTCATTCCTAAATTTAAAATGTCAACACAGCTACTACTAATTGGCTGGGTCCCTTTTAAACATCCCTATACGGGAGTAGTATTATCCTCATTTTAGAGCTGAAAAATAAAAGTTTAGAAGAATTCAAAAACTCATCTAAACTTACCCAGTTAATAAGTGGTAGAGCAATAAAAGCCCTGATCACATCCCAGCAAAGTCTGCATTATGTCATCTACCTCCAAAAGGCTTAAAAGCATTTTTAAATAATACTTCAATATTCTAGCATCATTATTTGTTAAAAGAAGTTATGTTCTTCTAAAAATCCCCAGACTCCTTCCACTAAATCAGTACAAATCACCTATAAAACCAGGAACACCAGCCAAATTCTGATAAACTATCAAAAACACAAAATTGTTTTTCTTAACAGAATAAAAGAAAAATGACTGGGTATGGGGCTGGGATTGTGGCTCAGGGGTAGAGTGCTCCCCTATCATGCATAAGACACTGGGTTGGATTCTCAGCACCATATAAATGTAAAATTAAGATATTGTGTCCACCTAAAACTAAAAAAATACATTTTTTAAATCACTGAGTAAATCATTGCAGCCATTTTAATTAAATAGCTTTAAAAGTTCAAAAGTATTGCAGACACATAGTATATCAAGTCATTCTTCTTTCAGAATTCGTAATTTGATCCTGCAGAAGAATCCATACACTCCAATTGGCCTGTGTAACTTCTCTCTTTCCCTATGTTTGCCCAGTGTGTAACAGAATTGACAAGAGTTAATAGTTACTCCAAATATTCTCTCCAACCTACTCTTATACTATTTAAGATGACTCACAAGTGTCCTAAAAGAAAATAATCAAATTCATATTAAGTATGTCATAGTGACTGATCTCACAGAATTTTTTTAAACTCTCACACTGAGATCCAGAAATAGTTAAATTTATTCAAATTTACAACTCCAACAACTTCAAGGAAAACCAAAATAGCATACCATCCTAGTCAAAGCTATTTATCCCTATTAAATGAATTGGTCACCCAGTTTCCTGAAAACAGAGCTCATAATAATTGCTAATCCTTAAGAGTTAAAATAAAGGGCATGCTTTACTTGTGGAAGAAGTAGTGATATGGATAAGCCAAGTCATATAATTTCACTTTACTTTCTATTTGCTTTACCCAGGCATGACATTCTTGTAAGCCTCTTTGTAAACAAATGAGATGATATAATAAAGCATATAAACTGAAGCAGAAGAGAACACAAAATGCCTTAATATTTCAAAAATTTCCTGCAATTTCAATAATCTGAAACTCCCAAGTATCCAAAAGAATTACCACATAACTGTAAAAGTCAAATATTTATACAGGTGCCTTAAAATCCACTGTTGGGTACACACCATCAACACTGACATTTACTATCTGTTAAGTAGCTTCAAAGTGCAATGACATTAGTCAAATAACTGGCTTTAAGTGTGAAGTTTATGACAACAACTAATATATCTGGAGAGACTGTGAAGGTGTGATACTTATCACAACTTTCATCAGACCAGCAAAAGGCAGGCAAGCTGTGACAAGATGGGACCTGGGCACAGGTGCCTTTTCTCATTTCAGTAGGGAAACTTAAACTGATACCTTCATGGATAATTTAACAAGGATTGTTCCATAAATTTTTAATGTTATTTATGACTTTCTTATAATTGCTTTTTAATTGCTTTCAAAACCAATAGTCTTATGACAAAAGTGAGAATGAAGAGAAGAAAACTTTCAGCTTCAAAATAAGAAAAAGGGGACTGCTTAATAGGGCTAGCACCTCAAAAAGGTTATAAACCCCTAAATCCACATTCTGTACGAAGCTGGGAAGAATTTTCAGAAATAACAGAACTCCAAATGAAGGAGTTATTCCTAGTCTATTACTTAAATTTACAATTAGGAATACCTCCTTAATGGACAATTTACAAATTTACAATTAGAAATGTCTACTTTTATTGTCATAATAAATCTAATTGAGAAATTTTCCTATTAAGGATAATAAGAAAGAAGGAATAGAACAACATTTGTGAACACTCAGCTAAACTTTGGATTAATAAACTTCTTAGATAATGATTATGCTGTTCATCTACCAACAAGAATAAAACATGTGTACCGAGAACTAAACAAAATCAGGCTAAGCTGAAGTCGAGTTCCCAATACCCAAGGTTCAATTCTAATGTTCTTTTCACCACTTCTTCAAAACAGAATCTGCCAGGTTAAGTTTTCAGGTGAGGGCAAACACTACAAAGTAAAACTCCAAAACAAGAGTTTCTATCTAACATCTGAGCGGCAAGGCCAGTTACACCCACTACCAGGGCCCAGCCAGGAACCAGATCCCCCTTCCTCTTCCATGCTCAGGCTCTCCGGACTGACGGGGTCGCATAGGGAAAAATTCTGCAGATGAGTCTTGGGAGCCAAGTTCAGCCAGAGAGATGCCACAGGTGGCCTGAATGGCTGGTTCCTCACCATGCTTTATGGCCTCCTGGAAACCCCAGCCCATTCCAGTCTCGCCCAAGCCCACGGTGCCCTCCGGCCTTAATTTGTCCAACTTTAAGTGGAAGCGAGTTCGGAACAGCTTTCAGGTGTCCCCTCTTGGTCCGTTAAGTGGACTAGGAGTACCAGCCCCGGGCACCAATCCCGCCCATCCCTTGGAATTGTCTAAAGGTCCTAGAGGGGCGTCGGGCAGGCTGTGGGTAAAGAGGCCCAGGAAGGGGCAGCTCTACAGTTCCCTGCGGGGCGACTCGCCGGCTGACGCAGCCCCGCCTAAGCGGACGGTTCCGCGCCTTCCCGGGACCCCGCGGGGGACCGGGGCCCGGCGACGCCCCACGCCCCCAGCGCCGCGGGCGCCGCCGCCCGGCCAGGTCTCCCAGACAACAGCCGCCGCCGCACTTCCGAGGCGGGTCCCCGCGCCCACCCGCGGCCCGGTCGCCCACCTGTCCCGGGGGTCGATCCAGCTGGTCCTCCTGGTGTTGTGGTCAATGTAGAAGACCTTGCCGTCGTAGTCCCTGGCCTCCTCCCAGCCCCGGGGTAGCGGCAGCTGCCCGCTCCCGGCTCTCCTAGGCATGGTCGGCGGCCTCGCCGGCGAGCGGCGCCTCCATAGGGACCCGGCGCGGAACGCAGCGGGAACACGACTGCCCGGCCTGGCCGCCGCACCCGACGCGGGCGCCGGCGAGGGGCTGCGGAGCGCGCTGCTCGGCGGGGCCACGCGCGGGGGACGCCTCAGGAAACCCTGCTCTCGGCCCCGCTGGGGATCAGTCCACCATGTCTGCGTCGGAGCAGGCAAGCGAACCCTCCTCCTCCTCCTCGCCGCCGCCGCTGCTGCCTCCGCCTCTTCCTCCTCCTCCTCCCAGTCCCCCTGTGGCCGCCGAGGGTCGCGGCGCCCAGGCTGCCCAAGCCGACGCCGTCTGGGCTCGGATCCGGGAAGCTCCGCCGAGCAGCGGCCCCGGCGGCGGCGGGCCTCCTCATTTGCATGCTATTAGCATGCGCCCGCCCCCCGCCCCTCCCCGCGCCGGGTTCATCTGCATGCACATTCCTCGCCGCCACATTCCTGGGCTTAACCCTGCCGCTCCCGCGTGCGGCTGCGCCAGCCCGGACGCCCGGCTCGAGCCCGAGGCGGGGGAGGGGAGCCCAGGGACCAGGTGGGAGGGAAGAGAGCCAAAGGAATTCTCTGTTCGCACCTTCCCTGGGACCCCAAATGTCGCCCTATGGCCAAACCCTTGGTTTTTTGGAGTTTCGGGACGGGAAAGATCTCCAAAGAGAAGTCTCCTCAAACTTCTCAACCTCTTTCCGTCTTCTAGGGAAGCCACAAGACTTTCTAGAGGAAAGGGGTGGGGAAAACTGTCCTCGGAAGAAGTCCCAACAAACAACGAGGACACAAAGGCTCCCTCACGCCGCCGCCCCAGCCCTTCGGAACCCCGGGGACCGAGTGGCAGTGGAAAAGTGTGAAAAGCCCCGAAATCCCTGGAAGGGTGTCCGTAGCTTGTCCGGGGCGGCCTCGCCGCCCCCCCCCCCCGGGCCTCTGCAGGGCGCCTGGCCCTCGGTGACCTCAGCGGAGACCGCGGGCCTCGCGGCGGAAAGCGAAGGCGGGTCCGCGGTCCGAAAGCGCCGCGACACACCCGCCCCAATGGCCCGCATAGAAACTCCGGCCTGACCCTGAGAGGCGACCGGGCCAACTCCGGCTGACGACGCCGCCCGTGGGCCTGGGGTGCAGAGTCACCCGCCACCCTCCGCCGCGTCAAGGCAGCCCACCCGTGGGGTCCCTGGGCCACAGGAGGGCCTCTGCTCCTGGCCTCCCCTGCAGGATTTAGGGCAGTAGGACTTGGCCGCGTCCAATACCCAGTCCCTTCCGTCCAGCCACCGGCCTCGGGAAGTTCCCCACCCCAAGCTGCGACAAAGCCAAGAAGGAGTGGGCGACCGCGCTGGAGGGAGCCCAAGGCGGCGGGGCAGAGGCCAGATATTCCCTGGCCATAGATCCATCCGGGATGGGACACGGATCCTCTCTCGCAGGCATTTATTTATTCAGCAGCTACTACGTGCTGATCTGCACTGAGGAAGGGCCGGACGTCGGACTCCGGATAGGACCACGCCGGGAGCAGCAGGACTGCTGGGCCTGGACTCCGAGCACTGTGTCCCCAGCCCAAAAATTCCTTTCCTGCCTTGTCTATACCACGGTTCTCCATTCATATTCTTCCGGGTTTCTAAGCAAATTCTTTTAAAACACGGAGTCCTGAGGAAAGCAGGCCCTGGAACGCAATCATTCACCTCTTGGTGTGCATTCGCTTAATTTTGTCTGCTAATATATAATGACTTCCCACCTGTGCAGGACTCAGGGCTGGGCAGGGGCTATTATAGGGTTTGCCTCTGTTCCCGGATTCACAGGCCCGCGAGTGTTGAAGCGAATTGATACTGCACAGGAGAATTGATACTGGAAGGTGCAGGAGGAGGGTGCTGGCTAAGGGCGGAGGCTCAGACTTGGAGAGGGCGCTGGGCTTGACTTCTCTCCTTGAAGGGGAAAAGGCCACCTCTTCTGTACCTGGAGCAGTCTAGGCGGGGAGCAGAAATTTAAACCGCCAGAAACTCTGAAAAGCTTGGAGGACCTGGGAGGGAGCAACCAGACTGTGAGCCAGAGGTAGTGAAGGTTAGCATCGAAGAGGAATTCGCTCTCTTTGGCGCTTTTTCTTTTTAGATCTTCCTTTACACCAAGGCCTTTGGAAGCTAGGCTTTGCGCTTAGTAAAGAGAACCGCCCGCCCACCCACCTCATAACCTGTATCCTGCCCCGCTCCATTAATCAAGAAATGATCTCTCAAGGTCCTAGTCAGTGAAATGAGACAGCCTGGTGGTTAGTCTTAAGGTTGGACTTTTGAATGCTGAAAAAACAAAAAACAAACAGGGCTTGTCTAAAATTAATCTCTCACAATACTGAGGGGATGTGTTTTGTTTTGGATTGCTTTAAATGGGTCCACTTGCATGGCCAAAATTTGCTGTGTGGTATACTAACACCATTAATCCTCAACCAAACCAAGCCATTGTTATTTAAAACTTGCTTCCTGGCTTTTCTCCCCCCCCCCTCCCCCAACAGTTTAAAGACATTTATTATGCTAAAATATTAACGTCCTACGTTTAAAAACAACAACACCACATTAGAGTAACACACTTTGCAGTTGCCATAACTTAACTCATTTCACTGGGATGAACTACTGCACAGTAGTTTCCAGCATAGTTTCAAATTTGGTAAACTCTCAGCTAAATATTATTACCTAATTTCTATAACAAATGAAGAATCCAAACAGCCCACAACATTAAATGGCATTTATTGTTCCATAAATCTTCAGACTTCAAAAAGAAATGCTAAGTGGACAAAACTCTAAAGCAAGGAAGAGACAAGCTCACTTCTCTCCCACTGATAGGCGCAGGAAACATTTGATCATACAAAAGCAGTTAAAGGCAGAAAGGAGAGCTGCTGCTCTACAGCCATTCTTGTTTTGATCTCCTTTGAACTCTGCTGTTCTGATTTCACCTAATCTATGCAGGAGCATCCCCTTAGAGAATTCCTAATGGTTAGGATGATGAAATTTCATCAGTATTCATATCTGTAAAAATAAATAAATGTAAAAATTATCCCCATTTAGATTTTATTTGGGCTCCCCATGATCCTTGGCAAAGAAGTATGACACATCTACTGTTTAGGATGTCAGATTATCAAGTTCTGGTCAATGACAAATCTATTCTCTGACCCTCAAATTTTCCTTTTCTCCTACCTTTACAGTTTCTCCAGTGGTAATAGTCTGTGGTGATAAGATGTTATAAACAAAGCTTCCACAGTCAATATCCTAATCCTAGGTGGCCAGAAAATTAGCAATATAAAAATTAGGATTAGAAAGTGAAAAATATTTCAAAAGATCATCTAGTTGTACCCAAATTTAAAATATACATTCCTTTACTCCAGCAATGTAATGATTTTACCTCTGGATATGAAAATTCCTCAGTGTCTTCAAAGGATGTTCATTGCAGTGTGTTTAATAAGATCAAAACTGGAAAAACCACCAGTGGCCATTAGTAAAGTGCTGATTAAATGAAGTATAAATTACCCATGCTCAGCAAGCATTTAAAAAGCATTAAATATATTAAATAAGGAAAGATGTCCAGGATATATTAAGTGAAAAAAGCAAGGTGCAAATAGACACTGCTCACTGCCAGTTAACTTTAGTATAGAGTTACAATCCGATTCTGGAGGTCAGGCCAACCATAAAATGTAAAGATGACAGTCTCCTATACACTTACTTTGTGTCAAAGGAATAGCACAGTAAAGGAGGGAATTTTTATAGAGGATGGGAACTATCAGGGAGGTCCCATCAAAGAAGTTTACATGAAGTAAATGATCAGTAAGGAAAAGGGATGGGGTAGAGGCGAACACAGACATAATCCCAAATTAACAGGCCAGGCAGGGCATGCTTATGGAAAGAAAAGGACATACAAAGTTCAAAGATGATTCTGGCATGAAAGAACACAAGACTGGCTGGAGCCATCTAGTTAAGGAGGTTGTAGTGATAGTATAGGTATGAGATAGATAAGGGCTGGGATTAGAAATAAAGCAATGAGGATGAAAAGGAATGATCTGGCAAGAATTTGTGACTGATTAGATTAAGAAGGGAGCAGTGAATAGACTAGAAGCAGGAATCTGGGATGAGTCCAAGATTTTAGACTGTGGAAACAGATTCAAAGAACTGGAAAAAAATGAGGAAGTCCAAAGGGGGATCTGATATAGGGTTTAGTTTTAGAAATTAGAGATACCCAGCAGAAAGTTAAAGGTCAGGACTAAAACTCAAACAACAGGTCAGGACTGCAAATACATGTTGGATGTCATCATCGGAAGTTGGTAGAGGACTGAGGCTTCAGAACTGAATCTTAGGAAGGTAATGTTAATGCAAGTAGAAGAGAATTAAGTAACTCATCTATAATCCTATTTTTGGCCCATAACTCTTCAGTAATGTGATAGGATTTTGTTTATTTCTTTATGGTCTCTGTTTTCAGTGATGTGTGTAAGAATTATTTGCTAGCGTGGAAACCATCTTTGAATGAATTATTGTTATAGCCCTTATTGTTCTGCTAGTGAATCAACTCTGTGTAGGACAAGATGAACTGGTTTTCAATATTTTAATATCCCTTGTTTTCTCAAGGAGATTGGAGATTATATAAGCCAGAAATTCTAAATAAAAAGAACATTCCTTTTTTTCCTGAAGCAAACAAGTTAGTGACTTTTGGGGGCAAGGGGAAATGAGTTCTTCTGCAACCAAACTGATTAAAATAAGTACTATCTATAATTGTTGTGGATAGATTATCCTAATCCACAATTTCTAAATTTGTTGTCCAAACAGCCCTTAAGAAAATAGGCATGTGATCTTTAAAAATCCCCAGTGCTAGCCTAAACCAAAATCCTATATTACCATAAACACTTTCCCTCCAGTTAATGATTATACTAACACATTAAGCAAAAAAAAAAAAAATCTTTCCAATTCAATAATAAGCAGATTTATTTTGTTGTTGTTGTTTTTCGTGTTTTGTTT